CACTCTTCAATAAACTGTAACAGTGAGGAATACCTATACCAGCTAACTAACATAATACATATGAATTGCTTAAACCAAGATCAGTCAGTATACAGTCCTCAATTAGACTTTTACTTCCACAGGCAGGCTTTTAAGTACAAGATTTCAAAACTGCCTAAACCACTGCCAGAAAGCTGGTGCAGAGTGTGCCTACTCCTGCTTTGAATTAACCCAGGCTGCTACAGGTCTTACACTACAGCCCTCCACTGCAGAAGGGCTCAAAGTCACATTTTTTATAGCCCTGCCAAGGTGAATTTGCTGTCTGAGAGGAGAGGTTTGAACATGACACAAGGAGACAGATGAATGACACGCTGGACTAGCAACACAGGGAGAATGGTATCATTTTCCTAGCCCAGTATATCCATCTCTAACAGTGACCAACAGCAGCTGCAGAAGGAAAAGCACAAGAAAAGGTCAAGCATGAAATAATACTTCCCTCAAATATTCTCCCAGCCTCTAGAAATCTGTAACTTACAGATTTTGAGCTTCAGAAATAGTCTTTGCAATTATTAGCCTTAAATTTGCTTCCAACCCTGCCCCAATTAATTTCTTCCAATTCTGTCTGAACAGTTGTGACTTCTCATGCCATGTCCCATGGCAAAGTTATACCTCAGTTAAATTGTGCGGTCTTTTTTGGGCAGGGGTGGAAGACAGGGATGACACAAGGACAAACCTCCTTTCGTTTGTTTCCTCTAGATGTTCTGATTTCCCATGATAAATCTTTGAGATGCTTTATAATTGCCTGTTTAAGCTTCATATATGTAATTAATTCAGCTTTATGAAATAAGACACATTAAGAATTTTATGCTTATTCTAGTCTGATTCAACAAATTTTGAAGTACTCTTCTAGAATAAGAGCAGTAAGATAAAGAGCTCCACGATCATATCTAAGATACGTATGCTCAGCACTGCAGGGAAGACCTGTAGTTCAAGTGTGTCGCAGCACAGAAAGATCTTTGCAACAAGAAAAAGTTAGACAGATATGGAAGAACAACTGATAAATAAAGATCTTAACTTTTATTTAGATGTTCACTTTTGTCATGGTGAGCCAAGACGTACAAGCCTAAGTTATTTCAATACGACATACTTTTTAGTATGTAGTAAGTAGTTTCAGGCTCACTAACCGAGTATTCCTGAGTAGGAGCATGACACTTGTAATCTACGTTTCTTAATGATTTCCAGGGAGAACTTAATGTGTTTGCTTAAGATCTCTGAAAACCTACCATAGCTTCAAACCATTCTGACAGCAATCTATCTCAGTGCTGAAATGGTGAGTCACTGGAAGCACTAGATTCCTCTTCACTGTTAATGTAATCTAGTCTTTTAAAGGAGTTTCTATTTCAAAAGTTTTCTCTCTTTCGGATTCCAGTGATCTGAAGCTGGCGTCTTTGAGGGCATGCTGCAGGATACTTGACTGAGCCAGAATTTTCAAAAATAGGGCCACTAGAGAGGCTAATGAATAACAACGGCAATTCTGTTGTGATTAGTTATTTCTGCTGGTGGGGAACAGCTGTTGCCTGAACTGCTGAAAGACTACACATAGCTGTCATTAGCAACAACTAAAGCTTTAAAGTGGTATTCTAGAAACTCATGGGCAGGTAGTTATACTTAAGGTTGGAATATTTGACAACTGAACAATAACACCCCATTATTCAATACTCTGAAAAAATTGGCATAAAGGAACTATGTCAGGATGACTTCATAATTTGTCCTCCTCTTGTTCATCCTTTTTTAAAATTGATATGGTTTAACCTAGTGCTACTATCCCCATGCTTCAATACAGGCAGATGCCTTTTTATCAACACTGTAAAAGTCTCCCAAGTTGGGCTAGATTCAAAAAATTTAACTCATTCATGCTCAGTAGATATTCTGACTCTTCTAGGTTATCTTGTTAAAAAAATCATACCATATATACTAAATTTTGCCTGCATTGATGCAGAGTCCAAGTCTACAGAACTGAAAACTTGCTTTGGAAAGAAATGTGCTGTGGTCTCAAGCTGATCACAGTGCTAGGACTGGCATGATGGATGTCTGTTCTGTGCTACAACTCTCCACACTGCACCTCACAAATTAGCATAAGATGGAACAAGCATAAACAGAGACCTGAAAATAGGAACAGGAGTAAGAAATAAAACAGGCAGAAGACAGAACAAACAAGAAAAGAAGTACCCACAGAAAGGCTACAACCAACCATTACAATTTACAGCTAGCTCCAACATAAAATTGTAACATTCAGGTCATCGCTCCCCATAGTCTTTTTTTAAAGTATGCACTAAAATCCTCAACAGATATGTATGTCTGTACTCCCTCCTCCTGCTTTCCAGTGGTAGGCCCATAAAAATGATGCAGAAGAGATGAGACTTCAAGGTCAAGTCAAAAAAGTTTGACTGTAAGGCCCAGAGTAAGACTGAGAAGGACAAAGCACAAAGTTATCACACAGTGAATAGCAGTGAAAACTTTACACCTCTCAACTGCAATTTTTCAGGGTTTTTTTAAATAAGTTTTTAAAAGAGTATGAAAAATATAATAAGTTGACCGTAAAACTGCGCAACAGAGTGCTGAGTACTAAGTCTCTTACTGGCAAAACTGCCGTGTGCCACTTCTGCCCTGAAGTGTCTTGACTCTTTTCTCTTAAGACAGGTATCTTTACGGAAAGATACAGCCTGCACAACTCCATTTTTTAGTCCTGTTTTTTAACTGACCCTTTCAAATGTGTTCCAAATCTTTAGCGATCACCTTTCCTCATTTACACTTTGTCAGCACCAAATTCAACTGACAGGCTTCACCACCACCTTTATACTAGCATAACTATCAAATGAATCTCTCTGCTCCAAACTCGTATTTGTCTCCACTCAAATCAAAATTTTGAGGTTTTTTTTCAGTACTTTCTTGCTGATGTGCAGCCAACTTAAACTCAATGCAATGAAAAAAACAAGGTCCTGATACAGTCTCCATCAAAATTCTTACCGACAATGACTCTTACAGTCCTCAGCATTAGATCTGACTCATAATCTGAATATGCTGTTGGAGTAAACTATCTGCCTATATTTAAATATTTATCTCCAGTTTGAACACTTTCTTTTCATCCTATACACACATGGCAAGATCTTTCCTTGCTGTTCATATTATAAAAATTTCTACCAACCTCATTGATTTTACCCATATATACGCTTCCATCAAAACAAAGAGTATGCAAAAAACACCCCTGCAAGATAGAGGGGGAAAAAGTAACCAACTTTAAAATCTTAGAGAAACATGGGAAGGTAGATAAAACACACAAACACTCTCCTCCCTCCCTCCCCCAAAAAACCCCACACCATCAGGCAGATTACATGATAAATACTGTCCAAACACTGTTCTAAAACAAAGATGTAGGTAACATTTTGCTGCCCCACAATGAGTCATACAAAGCATTATTATTGCTTGACAAGAAAGCATACAACATTAAGTAACCACTTTCTTCTATGCCCTTCTGACTTCTGTGCAGTTAGAAATACACAATCAGTTTAAAAAAAAAAAAAAAGTGCAATGTGGAAAGACGTGATCACAAATGGCGTTCCATCAATTTCTATTCTGCACTGTTGTGAACCTATCCCTCTTCAACATTAAACAGCAAAAAGGCTCTGCTTATAAAACAGCAGAAACTCACCAAGTCCAAATTCAGCACACTTTGTCAGATACCCTTCAGATGTTTTATTTTTGTTCAGAAAAATGGTGAGCTTGCTTTCCTTCATCTCAAAGCTGGTTCAGAGCACTGTATACCTGGGAGAGTGAGAGGGAAACCCTATATCAAAAGGAAAAAAGCTAAACCTATTTTACTAAAGCAAAGCAAATCTAGAGAAATTTCAACATTTCTCACCACACGTAGACTCTGAAATATAGATTTAATGTAATATTAATTTTTTTTATTATTTAAGAGACACACCACTATAGACATCTGCCTAACAGATGTAATTCGTGGCTCCGACTGTGTGAAAAGTAAAGTCCTATAAAACCTTAATGACTGCTAGCTTAAAATGCAAAGAACTTCACCATGCAAAATTTAAACATTTAAATTCTTTTGCATATGCTGAACTCCAAGTCAATAAAATTTGTAATGTATACAGCACTGCTCTTCCAACGTACACGTACAGCAATAAGAAAATCACTCTCTTTGGTTGACACCAATGGATAAAAAAATTCCAATTTTTATTAATAGATTGTCTGACACCAATTAAATATTACATTGAGAAATAAACTTGATCATCTTCAAAACTAGCCTCATGAGAGGGTTTTAACTGTAAACATTCCCTCCTAAATCTTTCAGTAACTTTTGAATATAGCTATGATTCTTTTCCTACAAATGAACAAAAGCCTTGAAAAAAGTAAAACTTCGTTTCCACTGGCTATGAGGGAATACAGAACTAGGGGTACAAAGCCAATATGGAACACTAAAGGGAAACAGCAATTAGCTACATTAAAGATTCAATATTGCTCCCTCTGAAATTGATAGTACTGTTATCGGTTACACACATGGGCAGCATCGGAGTGTCAGAACAAAGAATGGACAAAACAAGGCTACCTTCACATGCATTACTTGTAGTAATTTAAGTAGTCAGGAAGGCAAGTGGGAGAATGCCCGAGATAGACACCACTATAACACACGTATGAATGGAGCACAGAAGAAGAACTAGAAACACTATTCACAAAATTAAAGAAAAGAATCTCAGAACTGGAATAAAACTGTTATCATTTTACTGTGCACATACAAAAAGATCATAAAAAGAGAACTGAGGAACTATTGACCTATCAGGCTCCTGCAGACAATCTACAAAGTTTTCACTCAAGTACTGAACAATTGACTCACTGCAGACCTGTATTTCACCCAATCCATAGAATATGCAGACCTTCAATCAGGCTCTTCCACAAAGGCTACCCTTTGTGATAAATGAACCTCTGAAAAAGATTCTAATATAACTTACCATTATGTATGGTATTCATCAACTTCGAGAAAGCTTTTGAGTTAGGAGAAAAAGGGCTTCAAGTTAAGATCATGTTTAACAGACGCACAAAAGAATATATGTATAGACAGGAATTTCAGTGAACAATAATATACCTGAATACATCTTTCTTGTATTAGAGCTCTGATCATTTACAGTAGCTCAAATTGTAAAATGGGATTTATTTCTATCCACTATAATTTTTTACTTATATTTCTTGTCAGTGTTTGTTAGCTTTTAACTGTCGAGTAGAAGAACATTCCAGCACACACCAATTAGCTGCATTCTAAAGCTACTATTACAAATAAAAAAAATAATTATTTTCCGGTGACAATCAGTCTTCCCAACAAAAGACTGATTTTCATTTCATTGTCCGCAACAAATTTAGAAACTTAAACTGAAGCTGCCTTGATAATTTTAATCACGAGGCATCTTTTTTGCTTCACTGATAAATTGAGACTAACTCAAGCAATCAAGAAGTTTAACAGAAAACAGTTCTGCCTCCAGGGCTTAGGAAGCTCAGTTGAAGAACTCCTCAAATGTGCTGAGAGAAAGAACGTCCAACTGGTGGTACACCAAAGGAGATGGTCACATGAACTTCCTTTTCTTCAAGCATTGGGGTTTTTAGGGAATATTGATCTCTGACCATGAAGTGCCAGAATACACTCACATCCTCTGCTGGGCAGCTAGAAGTCTCTGTAACATCTTCCACAGCAACACAACACTTTTATGCCCAGTTGCAGAGTGACGGCAGTCATGCCGATGGCTCAGCTCTTCCACTTCTGCCACCAATTTATTCATACTTAGGGTAATGACCTCATGACTACAAAATTATTTTAGTTTCAATTTACTAGTTCACTCTTTCACACTACTAATGAACAAAGCCCTGAGCTTACATGTCTGGTTTGACAAGATGATCAAATGAATGATTTTGCAGGTGAGAGTGTAGCGATCACCTCTGTCATACTTTCGTGGGTGAATTTTCTACCTGCATCAGCTTCTGAGGTTTGACTGTAATAACTGTTCATGTTCCAACAGGGTGACTGTCTTTTATACTTTACTTTTCTCTTCTTTGTTCTCCCCACAACTGGCAGCTACGGCTGTCATAAGCCATTTTTTTAACTGCCAGCCTCTTCTGAACATCAGGATTCCAAAAAAAATGAATTAACAACAAAGACAATTTAAACTTTTGTCATAGGTACTAGAATACTACAAAACTAATTTAGAAGTCATTAAAAAGAAAAAAAAAAATCTTTGCCTTTTACCTACTGCCTAAACTTGAATAACTAGCCAAAGTTACTTCCATAGAAAAAACTTTTAAAAGTTAGAATATTTTAATTAAAACATTACAGACCAAGTCTGTAAAAACAAATGCCTTTGGTTTTTGTTTTTTTTTTTTTAAATTTTGTGGTAGAGAAAAAAAGAAAATCCTGGATGATTCTTTACAAAAGTGGATTAATCTGATAAAAATGAAACTGATAATTTTAATTAACCTTCTCAACAGTTTTCAGAGAACTAACAACAATGTAGACAAATACACTTATAATCAAAACTATTATTTTACAAGGCAAAAAAAAAAAATCACTGAAACGCATAGAGTTAATATGGCTGGGATCATATACATTACACTATTAGGACAAATTCTGCCTCAGGTGCAGAGGACACGATGCAACTGCGGCCTTCTACCCTTAAGAGCAGACTCATTTTGCCCACACCTACTTGCCACAGCCTTTCTTTGATTATAATGACATCGGTTCATTCCAGTTACGCTCAATTTTTGTGAACAAGAAATAGCAGCCATTTTGATCCACCGCTGCTTTCAATATTAAGGAAAACCCCTTTCAAACTAAAGGAACTGTTGGGTAGGGTTTTTGGGGGGCTTGGGGGTGTTTTGGGTTTTTTTAAACATGCACAGCCCTAGATTGCCTGAAGCTACACCTTTTGCTTTTGTTTCTTTAAAATTGTACCACACAGGAGGTACCATTAACCCAAACCATCACAAGTGTTGCATTCCCAAGCATCACTCAGAGCTTTCAGAAAGTTTTATAGCAGAATACACTAGATATGCCCCAGTGAAAAATTTACTACGACAAGACACACACTTCATAGACAAATGAGGAAGAGATGCAGTTAAAGAGCTGACAAAACAGTTCAGTAGACCTCGTCAGCAACACGGGGTTAAAACAAGTAGCTGTCTGGCAACTCAAGAACATATATAAAAACAAAGTGAGAGAAACAAATTGCAGTAGAACCCCTTTCAACTGCAGCTACTAAATGCAGAAAAAAGTCTTTTTAACATTCACAGTATACACAGTCCTTAAGAGAACAGTGCCAATTCCAGGACACATGAATTACACTTTAGTAGTCTGCTACTGTGCTTATCAGAATGAACTTTTCACAATAAGCATGTGCTACAATGGAATAAACATGTGAGAAAAGGATTCACACCTTTGATTCTTACTTTGAAAGTGTCTTTTTTTTGAATCCTTAAGGTTCCCAATAGTAAGTAAAAAGACTATCATGCAATGATCAAAAAAGACAAATATAGTGTGACAAATTATCAGACGGGAACAGAACAAAAAAAAAAAAAAAGCATAATTGTGCCACTTTAAAAATTCATGTTGCACCTATATTTCAAATACCACCTGCACTTCCCAAAAAAAGGATATAGTAGCACTAAAAGAGATCTGGAAAGGGTAAGAAGGATATAGTATGAATGACATGAAGGTATTAAGATATCTAGGTCTAAAAAAGATAACGGGGGAAATGACAGAAATGTATCAATTATGAATACTGTAAAGATGCTGAAAATTTTTAATGACTATTCACTGTTCTTAGAGGAGTGTCAAAACATGATCAGCAACAGCGGCGAACAAAGTACATCCCTTTACAATACATAAAGATACGAAACTCATTTTCCACGTTTCAGATATCAACAGCATAAATCGTTTCCAAAATTATTAGACAAATTCATGGAAGAGACCGATTCACAGAACAGATCAATAGCTACAGATATCCAGCCTTGAGATGAGATGCAAGGAATCCTAGCAAGAAAACGCCCTGTTTAACCCAACTGCTTTGAAATTAAGACAGACCTCATCCAGTTACATGACGAAGGGCCAACACTAGATCAGCCCTCCTTGTGACTGATGGGGCTAATTCTAGACTCCCCCCAAGCCTCAAGACAGAACAGAAGGAGAACTGTTCCGCTACCACTAGTCCCTTCCACACCCCATAAATTAGTAGAAGGCAGATGAAAAAAGGTGTTTTATTCTGGAAGGAAAAAAGAGCTACTGTCTGGGTTCCTGGTATAACGGCCTCTGTTGGCAGCTACCTCTTTCCTGACTTTTCCTGCACTGAAGTACCCTCCCAGCCACCCAGTTTTCTCCTACAATGTACAGCCAAGCTATTGAACTCCAATACGCTAAGGTGTCAAGAAAGGTTAGGGATGGTGAATGGTAATCATATATGCCAAAAAACTATATGCTGTAATAGCTGGACTTCACATTAATTGTTTTCCTTTATTTTCCATCTCTGCTGCCTTACGCACTTTCCTCTCAGTCTTAGCTGAATCCTTCCTTTCTTCATCTAATCCTTATGGCAGCTGCTATTGCTTGCTTTAAAACCTTACAATTATTCTTTCTTAAAATCTATGCTGCTCAGGAAGACTTTGTTGCTTCCAGCTCATCCATTTCAATTAGTTTCAAAATAACTCAGAACTGACTGTGTATTAATACCTACATCCGAGTCACCATCCTTTTACTGTTCATTACCTGTTTTTAAAGGAATTGGTTATGCATACAAAAACTAAAGTTAAATTCTAAGCTTACCACTACTCCCACAGCAGAAAAAAGGCCTAGTGACTTTAGCCCTTGAAAGGATGTTATTTGCTGTAAGCAACCACTAAATCCTTCAGATCAGGAATTAGTCCATGACAGTTATCACACTTAAAAAAAAAAAAAAAAAAAAAAAAAAATCTGCATTTGAGATTCTTACGTGAAAGCTAACTATATTAACAACTTATGAGTTGCTTTTTCATTTGTTTGGGGGGGGGTGGGGAAATGTTTTGTTGGGTTTTTTTTTAAATTTACTTGGAACGTCTAGTCATTCTTATCAGGAAATCCTTCTCATAAATGTCCAACACAAATAAACAATGGGAAATAGATATAAAGCCAAGTCAAGTACAAAGGATCTGATAGCATTACTCGTCCACAAGCCCCAGACACATGTTCATATTCTTCAGCTCTGTTTATAGGTTCCGTGAATCTCTTCTCAGCTGAAGTTTCTAGAGCTATACTGGTCCAAAGACCACAGATGCTTGCTCTTTTGGACAACAATTTCCATTTTTTTTTCCAAGTTACTTAGTCTAATGAGAACCCTCTTCAGAAACTTTTTACCACTGCATGTAATTCTCCCTCAGGAAAACATATGCAGCAAGCGAGAAGACTGTCAAAAATTAACAGTTTTCTTAATGTTATCCTTATGGCCTTCTCACAGACACCTTACATAACTACCAGATCTGACACCAAAAAATGAAGAATTCTATTTAAAAGCTGATTAAAAAGTATAGAAAGAACAATATGAAGTAATGAGTTTGCATCTAAACTAGGTGTTAAATCTCAGTTTAGTTCAAATGGACAAAAAATTCACTTTAAATTCAGGATCAGCCAAGAAGTATCTTTTCTAACAATATAAAATAGTTTGTTTCACTTACTATTTCTTGCATTACCACCACAAAAGCCCTGGAAAGAACTATTTTGCTAAATATTTTGACAGCACACTTTGTGTGTATGGCATACCTGTATATCTAACTCCTCCAACACTTTTTCAATTATGCCTAATACTCCTGAAAGAGAGGTTTGTTTCAGTAATCTTCCGGAAATACGGTGTTCGTTTACCTGTGCCAATTTTTTGCATTTTATTTATGCTGGGGAGATTTATTAAAAATGAGCTCACATCCAGGTGGATCAACATAAAGATCTTGCAGGTTTTAAGCAACTAGTACAGGTAACCTT